ATTTTATATACTGTACATCACAGTGGATCTGCTTATTATTTTGGCGATTGATTGGAAAAGACTGATATTTCACAAGTAAAATACTGGTGACACAAAGGGGTAATTAGAGGCGTTGAGATTATGAATATTGGAGCAACGCTTTCTGCTTTTGTCGCTACTTATTTTCAAAATCCTGTAAGATTGCAGTTTAATTGATAAACTCTAGCAGTGAATAGAGAGCTTAACAACAAAGACAAACAAAACAAAGTGGCAAAATGTGGACCTCTAAAAAGTTTTTTTTCAGATTGACTGTCATTTTTTCTATTTATAAAGAATATGTAAAATCTTTCGCTGAACTTCGAGAAATGGGTTTGACTAGAATCTCTGCACTCGACAACCAACTTCCCTTTCATGAGTATTATTTCATTGACACTGTTGAAGAAATCGGGCTTATAGAATGTGCTCGTCAGTGTACGTTTTACCTACCTAGATGTGCAGGTATTTTATACAACCGATTCCGAAGCTGTAAGTTACTGAAGGGACACTTTCATACCAGATCTAGCAACAGGAGCGAGGAGGGATGGCAATTTCTTTCAAATGATAAAGGTACGGTTTCTTTTTTGCTTTCACGTAAGTATATAGAATTTTGTTAATTCAATTACTTCTAAATGACAAAGCTACAGCAAATAGATAAACGAAAAGTAGAATATATTAACTGTGAAATTCCGACAGTGTAAATTACACATCATACATTTTAAATAGAATATACTCCGTACATTTGAAATTGAAAACATATTTAACTTTTTATTGCTATCCTTTTTCGTCCGTTGTCGTGCCTCGTGTGTTGATATTTGAACATTTTCAGCTTCTTCTCTGCAGTCACTCAACAAATTTTCAAACAATTTTGGCATAACGCACCAATGGGTGAAGGGGAACAAAAAGTGAGAATTTCATGGTCTAGCTCTGCCCCGCGCGCTGGTGCCTGAGGGGTATGGCAAAAACCACTAAAACTAATGCAACCTTTAAAAATCTTCTTTACTTCTGGACATCAATTAAAATTGTTGGCATAAATGTAACAAGCATTGAGTCCTCTACCAAAATTGTGAAATTCATGGCCCCAGGGTCAAAGGTTCTAGTGCTAAGGCGGGGCTTGTGGGTGTCAAATAACTAACTACGTACATACACTGTAGTTATGATGAGTAAGGGTGCCTCTTCTAAAATTGTGAATTTTATGGCCCCAGGGTCAGGGGTTCTGCTGTTAGGGTGGGGCTCTGATGATTAAGTAGTGACAATGCATAAATTCTTTGAAAATTTCCTCTCTGCTCATGGTTATCCAACAAACTAACTATATAGTTATGATGAGCAAGGGTGCCTCTTCTAAAATTTGGAATTTCATGTCCCCAGTGTCAGGGGTTCTAGTGTTAGGGTGGGACTCTATTGATTATATACCGGTAATGAAAATTAACAAGGGTCTCTTCTAAAACTGTGAATTTCATGGGATTTTAGTGTAAGGTTGGGGCTCTATTTGATAATATAGCGAAATACATTAATTTTTAATCCCTGTCTCTGCTCTTGAGAATGAAACAGACCAACTACATACGTAGTTATGTTAAAGGGGCTGGTCCGGGGTTGTGACCATTTTTAGCTTTATTGATCTCCTTAAAAAGAAGAGATCCATATGAAGATATAGAAAAATGATTAAATTTTAAAACTAAAATTTTTGAAATTTTTCTTTGCTAAATGATAGTTGACATCTTAAGATATTATATCTACAAAATTAAGTTATATCTTGTGGTTATTTATCTTGACCCCCAGCCTCCTTAAGGACGTTCGATCCTGAGATTTTGAGCGTATTTCGGTCAGGTCCTTTATTTATAAAATTAAGCATCATTTTTAAGTTCTAACAATAAAACTGAATTCTACAATGCAAATTGAACTATATTCAATGAAAAAAACGCGATTAAATTCCATTCAAGTAGAATTAAGCTAGGGACTATATTTTGTAGAGGAAGGATTTTTAGACGAAAATGATCAGTTTTTTTTTCCATTTTGAACTATAACGGTACTGTTAATTTTGGATTCCTATTTTTCCATGCTGGTTGCACACAAAGCTGTTTTTTGCAGTGAAATGTGTTATGCTGGTTCTGAAATATCTATTAAATTATTTCTTCTGAATTCTATCAACAAAGTGTGACAACTATAGTAAATATTATATATTCTGAAAGTCCGGGAAAAAATTGAGTCAATTTTAACGTAAAATTGACACTTTTTTAGTAATATCTGTAAATGTACATCATATACCCCTACTTATGATGTTCTTTTCTAAATATTCAAGATAACTTTGACCTATCTGCTTAAAATCAGAAAAAGTTTAAGACTTTAAAATAATTTTCTTGCTTATTATATTTTCAATGCCGGAAAAATAACATTTTATTAGTGCAGAAAGGTCAAAAAATTGATTATGCGAAGCAATTTTTTTTGTCTTTTTTGAAACAGACTTAGAGTTAATTTTGTTTCATGCTTTAATTGGATAAAAATATTTGAGGGAAATCGTCGAAGATGTCATTTTTAATTAAGACACAAATTTCAGTGCAAAAAGGTCATATTAAATGTACTGTAGCGCCAAAAGAAGCATATTGACCCCCATTTTTTTATTTGAATTTTAATTAAGCTTTGTATATAGAAACTAAAAATATACTTGGCAAAAAAAGTTTAAGACTTTAAATATCAGGATCGAACGTCGTTAAGGAAGAGTGGCTCTTCGAACAGTGTTAACTTCATGGACCTAGGGTCAGTAGTTCTGATGTTAGTGAAAATGCAGTAATTATTTGAAAATCTTCTTCTCTGCTCCTGGGTATTAAATTTTATGTCTCCAAGGCTAGGGGAAAATGCATTATGGTTTGAAAATCCTTTTCTCTGCTCAAGGGTATAAAACAAACTAACTACATATGTAGTTAAAACGAGGAAGGGTGCCTCTTTGAAAATTGTGAATCTCATGGCCCTCATGGGTCAGAAGTTCTGTTGTTAGGGAGGGGTTATATGAATTATAAAGTGAAAATGCATTAGTTCTTTGAAAATCTCCTCTGCACCTGGGTATTATGCAGATGAACTTCCTATATATCTATGATGAGCAATGGTTCTTTATGCAGAATTGTGAATTTCAATGCCCCTCGGTTAGGGGCACAGTAGGGGATTCGAGTGTTAGGATGGGGCTCTAATTATTATATACTGAAAATAAATTGATGCTTTGAAATCTGCTTCTTTGTATTTATCAAACATTTATGATGATCGAGGGTCCCTTAATTTTCTAAAATTTTGAAATATGTGAATCCTGCAGGGACTCAGGGGTTCCTATGGGGTGGGGCTCTTCTGATTATTGCTGTATATTATTACTAATTAGTTGAAATGCATTTTTTTTGTTCCCGTACCCTGCCGATATAAAGTAACTAAAGTAATCATTATAAGTGTATATTTATGATGAGCGATGGCGCCTCTTTCAAAATTGTGAATGTCATGGCCTTTGGTTTAAAACATGAACCAAATTCAATGGGAAGAAAGTTTTTGCATTATCATCAGTGACCTATAAGACCCATGAGCCTCTTGTTGTTTAAGGCATCCATGAATTATAAATATTTATGCGCACATTATATACTTTGTTTGGTATGAATCGACATCTGTTAATGTTTCATTATACGCACTTTTTATGCACTAATAAGTTTTTTTTTAATAGCTTTTACTTAAGAAATGAATCTTGTTTTTCAAACAAACGACTAAAATAATTATGGTATATCTTAAAACTGCCTTTGAAGTAACGTATATTTGTTCATAGTTTATTAGGAAATTGTCTTCCTAATAATTCAATCAATGATTGGATAGACCGTTTTAGTGAAGGAAGGCAGATGAAAATTTCATGTTGCCCGCTGCGAAAAGCGTATTGATGAATATTTCAACAATAATATAACTATCAAATACCTAAGAAATTTCCTTAAACATGATGCACCGATTAAATAAAAAAATAAAAGATATGTTTCATTTAACATGAGAATAAATGATATTGCATTGGCGTCGGAAGCAAATTGAAAGTGTTAGAAAAAAAATTCAGACCTACAAAAAAAAAATAGAGGAAAATTTGTCCATTTCCTATTTCGTGTTGAGGGGGGCAAACGCTTATATTTACCCTTGACCATTTTCAGCTTCTTCTCTGCAACCACTCAACCAATGTCAACCAATTTTGACATAAAGTAGCTATGAGTTAAGGGGAAAAAAATTGTGAATTTCATGATCCCTACCCCCATCCCCAGGGGCCTGCAGGGTAGGGTCAAAATCCATTAAACTAATGCAACATTTAGCAAAATGCCCATGGATACATTCTCTACGTACTATTAAACAATGTTAAATGATGCAACCTGTCAATAGGAAACCAACAGTCTCGTTTAAAATCAAGACTTAACAAATTCTATGGTCGATACAATGACCTATAGCTTGTCAGCAAATACATTTTATCATTTAGTCGAGTATTGTCGGACATTATTCAACACATTGTAGCGCATTACTGGTATTTTCACACTAAATCATCTATGAATTTTTTGTTTTTCCCTTTCTGACAAGCACACGGCGGGTGTAACCGGCCTATAAGGGATGTTTACTCCTCTAGGACACCCGATCTCACCTCTGATATTTTGAGATCGGTGTTTGTTCCGCTCCTTATCTGTATTGTTTCAATGGGACTTTTAGCCTGATTGGTGTCAGTTATATTTCATTTCAAACTCTTTTTCCTATATTTTATGCTGCCAAATTTTAGCAGTGAACAACTTGAACTACTGAATACTTTTAGCAGGGAACAACTGGAGTTCTGAAGAATAAAATGAAATGAATCCTATTGGGATTTTTTTATAGTAATTTTACAGTATTCAATAATAGTAAAAAAGTAATTTAATCGAGTAGTTTGCGATAAACCAGTAAAATGTAAAGAGGAATACACAGATACAGTAATAAATTCATCTCCTTTATTCTCTAGCTTGCAAAAGCGGATGGGTACCGTTTGATGGGCATTGCTACTTATATTCCAAGACAAAGATGGACTGGGATGTTGCCAAGGTAAACAAACTTTGATTCTTGCAATTTCTGTATTATAAACCAAATTGTGAACTGGATTAAGCAGAAGCCAACGATATTAAGCTATCCACCTGACCATACTAACTCTTAGAAACCCATCTTCCTATACATGAGTACAAAAATATATAATATATATACCCTCTGAGGGTCACATGATCAGCAATAGTTTCTAGATCACTTATTCCTATAGTTGCTGTTTAACTTATACTGTAAACAGATAAACACCAACACATTATACACCTGAATAAGAGAAGTAAGATCTGGCTAAGAAAGATATCAAATTTGTTCAACTAATGAAATGTGATATTTCACAAACACATCTTATTTTTTCTTGTGTTTCAGGGTGAATGTAACAGGAACAATGCTAAACTGGTTGAAATCGAAACAGAGTCTGAAAACTCTTGGATAATGGAAACATTTTTGCCCACGGAAGGTAAAACATGTATTCATTGTATAGAAAAAGATTGGTAAATGTTATATTCAGATGTCAAAATTTCAATAAAAATTTCATTAGAATCCATAAAGGTCCATAAAACAATACCAAATGGGAGCAGAGCAAACACGGACCTCCAAAACATCCAAGGTGGGATCAGGTGGTATGGAGGAGTGAGAATCCCCCGCCGACTAAACATAAAATTAACATATTATTGAAATATTGTTGAGTTATTGAATCTATTCTGTAGCGGATTGTCCTTCCTTTTGGGGGTGCTCTGTGTGGATCGGGGCAACAGACCGGGATATGGAGGGGAGGTTTGTTTGGGACAGTGACCAACGCCCCGTCAATTTTACACGATGGAGTCCTGGAAACCCAAACAATGAGGGGCCATCTGGTGAACAGCACTGTGTAGATCTCATGATTTCTGGAGAATGGGACGACGGGGAATGCGAGGCACTCATGGGTTTCGTTTGTGAAATGGATTACTGAAAATCAATGTAGAGACTCATATCCTTTTAAATAAAGACAGAAGGACTTCAAAATGAATTAATTTATTAATCAGTTTTATTAATGTCAACGAATGTAGTTAAATGATTGTGTGATCATTACAAAAAAAAATGTGAAATTTATTGAACAAGGTATTCCTCCCAGAATTTTGGTAAATCAGTTGTGTACAACAGGATAGAATAATCTAACAAGCTTTTTTCCTTTTACTTTTAACTAAAATATTAACAGTAGTGAAGGAGAAGCTTCAGGAGTACTGTGCAACAATGTATATGAGAAGTGGTGTAAATCAAATGTGGATTGCGAAAAATTCCAAGGAACCTTTGGAAAGAAAGAGGGCGTATAAGGCGTGGACAATATCCCGCTCTGAGACAAAATGTTTCTCAATTTTCAAAATTCACAGAAAAGTTTTATTTTTCTAAAATCATGTTCTCAGTAATGTCATCTTCAAAACATTTTATCGTTTTATTTTAATGAACGATATATTTTTTGATAATCTTTAATTATATATCAAAGTTGACAATTAAGCATATTTAGTGGAAAATGGGTTTATTAGAGCTATAAAAAAGAATTTTGAACATGAATGGGTCAAGTCTCCATTCTTCGTTAACGCTTAAATGATGGAAACGTATATGTAAAATCTATTTCATCTGTCCAAAAAATGGAATCTGATATACGAAAATCGAAAATTTCTGAAAAAATGTACGCTTCAACAAATCCGTTAATTTAAATCACACTGACCGACGTTGATACTGCATATACTTCGTAGCGTAGTGGTTAAAGCGGTTTGTCTTGGACCAAACCTTGCGCTATATTATCTTACAACATAAGTGAAAAATAAATTATTAATAAAATATTAAAATAATGAAATACAGAATTAAATGTGTAAAAGATTATATAAACAATATTATTTTGAAAAATATAACTTTTAGAATTGAGAAATGTCTCTTCTCAGAGCGGGGGATTGTCCTCGCCTTGTACGCCTTCATTGTTTGATGTAAAAAAAATACCCAAAACGACAACATAAAAACTTTTGACTTTTCAACTTTATATATACACCATTATCCATGATAAATTATAGTCCAGGATCTTTGATATCATTGACAGCTGCCTTTTCAATGAAAATGGAATGAAGGATATGGAGATAACGAACAGTATTCAATGTCAAAGTCCATGAAACAATACAAAATAGGAGCAGAGCAAACATGGACCTCCGAAACATCAGAGATGGGATCAGGTGCCATGGAGGAGTGAGCATCCCCTGCTGACCGGTCACACCCGCTGTGTGCTCCTTGTCATGATAGGGAAATAACGGAAAACTCCGTCGTCAATTCAGTGTATAAATAATGGACTAACAATAAGTATGAAAACAAGTTTTACAGGGGACCTCGGTTTTTAAGGTCTTATGCCGAACTTGTAAATTTACTTACCTTGTCATAAAATTTTTTTGTTGAAAAAAAAAAAAAAAAAAAAAAAACAAAAAAAAAAACATTCTGATTGTACACACAAGTGCTCTGAAGTAAAAAGTCGCTTCATTTTCTGATTGACTATAACTATATGTGGTTTTTGAAACCATCAAACAGTCGATTGGAATTCCAAAACGAATTCGTATTCATATGAAGAAGAAATTGTCCAAAAGCTTGTACAGTCATCATGAAGAGATGAAAACACTTGCTGCTGCCCTCATCTCGACATATAGATATATCGACGACGAATAATCAAAAAACAATGATTATTTTCATTCGTATATCAATACGATATATTCCGGTGAACTACAAATAAAAGATAGCACAGAGTCTGACACATCTGTTTCATATTTGGATAATTTACTTGAAAAAGAAGATAATAATTGTAATCTAACAACCAAGTTTTACGATAAACGTGATGGCTAACTTTTTCAATCGTCAACTTCCCTTACTCATGCCTTCATCACCTGCATACTGGGTAAATTGTTTTGGTTAATTTTGTAAACAACTATCGTAGTATCGTGTCGTGTTTTTGTACGATGTATATTGTTGGGGAAATTGACTCGCTAGCCGTGTAGAGGACCCTTAATGACGTAATGTCCAGTCCAAATAGGTTTGGGACGATTACTCTGAAATTAGACACAGGGAAGCGCTAAGTAAAATATACTGCTTTATTCAGGTCTCCGATAAGAATGAACAATATATATAGTCACCAGGTACAATAAAAATCATATTTCTATCTGCATAACGCATTACAAAGGTTGGTGCCCTAACTTACTTAACTCTGGTGACTAATAGAGTGATCAAACAATATGAAAATACTCACTCTATATAAAAAAAATCGAAACAAAGTCATTTAACTAAATAAGTAGTGAAGGTAAACATTGGCTAAGGAAATTCGAACTGACAAAATGTAAACAAGTTTAAGTTAACATTATCAATATAAATAACTTTAACCCAAAATAAAAAGAATTATAAAAACCATTATTTTATCTAAAACATCCCTGCTACTTGATCAATCAAGGAAATACTTCTTAAGAACTTACAATATAAACTTTACCCGCTGCATGGTTTGTTTGTTCAACATTGTGAAAAGTGAAAACCAGTTTGATAAACAGTAAAACCCAAAACCTAAACTGAACATATTATTTCCGAACTTTGCTGGTTTGACCCAAAATAATTGAAACAAATAATATTAAGCTGGATTGCATGCATAATGATGAATATTGACTGAGAACTAGTTTTATAAAAGAAAAAAGTTTAAACAATAAAAACCTTAAAACTGAATAACTGGTTTTTTGTGTAATTAATTATTTAAAACAGAATTTTACTTTGAATGAAAGCTCAAATTTCTTGAAAACAAAATCAAATACTTTAACTAACTTTACGAAACATAATAATAAATTGTAAATACTTTTAAAAGAAAAGAAAAAAAATACATAAACTATTTTACCTGAAATTAGACACAGGGAAGCGCTAAGTAAAATATACTAACAGTGCGACATTTAACTCCGGACACGACATTTGTCCGGACTTTCGCCAACCACTTTTCCAAAGATATGTGGAAACCATTTATATCATCTGATGGGATTTTTTAAAACTTAACACATGAACCAAACTTTACACCTGATTATCTTCTAGGTAAAAAGATATTACACCTGAAATCAAGAAATCCCATGGGATAATGGTGGGAGTTTTTCTCCTAACCAATATCCCACCATTATTCTGTGGGAGAAAAAGGTATTCTGTGGGATTTTTTCTCCCATAGAAGTTTGAAAATCCCATAAATGCTTTATAATGGGACAAAATCTCCCATATATTTGTATACAGAAAATAATCTCCCATCTCTTTATAAATGTGGGATTTATCCCATATTTATTTCAAAACAGAAAAAAATTCTCCCATGGGATTAAGAAACAACAGTTTTAAACCAAATAAAGAAAATATTGAACAGTTTAACTACCATTAATTATTTATTTTCATTTAAGTTTCTGTGTTTCCTACACCATTTTTTTATTTCTTAAAATTAACCAATTTGGAGGGCAGTGGGGTAATGTTTTATTTTTCAAATGATTAAATATTTTACATGAAATAGCACTAAAAATCTATATAACTTTCAGTTTTTTTTTTAAACTAAAAAGACAATTTCCTTGTAAGTTGTATGTAGTTTACCTTCTTTTATTCCTTGTATGTAAATTTTGAATGAGAAAAAAATGCAATTAAGAAAGAACAAATCTTTTTTGTTTATTTTCCTCCTAATCATTAAGGTTAATTTATTGCGTAAGTGTCATTTGTCAAGCTTTACAACAAGATCAGATCCATATATGTTGTTAGATCTTTGCCTGTTTGCTAGCACTAAACTGATGGGTTTCCAATTAAAAAATCACATGAAATTGGGGCGAGTCATTCACTCTGAGATTCTCAAAGAGTTTTAAAACTTATTCAGATGAACAAACTGTAATAATTTACCTATTTTTTACTCTAAATTTTCTTTGTATGATCCTGATCATGCCTTGTTTTTGTTCCAATGACAGCTGGAAATTATTTTAGACATAACGAACCCGATCTGACAAATGAACAAGAAATAATGTTGAAAAAAAAAATCAACCGTCTTCATTATGCACATTTACTGGTAGTTTGCATTAAAAATATTTAACAATTTTACCTTTTCACTAATTTCAAAACATTTTACCTACACCTTAATTAGAAACATTTCCATAATTTTTGACAGTTCATTGAACCCGTTCAAAAATAAATATGATGAAAGGGCATGGATCCAAAAATTGCGGTGGTACTCTACTCAGTGTTTCTTATCATCCAGTAGAAGACAAGTTTTCCTTAGTTCTGTTACTTCTTTAATAAAAGCACTCTGCTGATCTTTTGCTTATTATTTTAACTATATGCAACATTGACATGGATTCAACTGATAAGTCACCTTAGGCCATTGCAAGTTTCTTCTTTGTTTAACATCTGTATGCACCTTGATTTTTGACACCCCAAACACATAAAATAAGAGATTCAGGCCACAGTTAGTTAAAGCTCACTATTAATACTAGCGCGGATGCAAATATAGCAGAATGATATTGGGTATTAAACTTTTACTTCAGCAATCTACATGTAATTTAAATAAAATGTTAGACCCGCACTCATACTCGCTAAACTGACTGTAGTGACTATGTGAGCAGATCTAACATCTAATTTTAACTAGATTGGTACTTCAGTGGCTTAAATTTATTCAGCTTCTTTCAGGAATTCAATTTTCTTGTCATAAATGCATATTGTCAATTATTATGCTTCCTGTCAGTTTGTCTCTGTGACATAACCCATATACCCTACTATTCTTGCATTATGTTCTTATGATTTAAATACATACTATGCCGAAATAGTGCTCGACTATGGGTGGCACTGCACATGTAGCTCTCCCATCTGTCAATATATATTATTTCAGAGAGCTACAGTTCTGCAGTACTTAACACTTCAGATGAAAAATTAACATTCAAAATAATTCTTTTAAAATAGTTTCTTGCAATCCCCCCCCCCTTCAGTCAAATACTATTCTCTAAAACTATCTGTGCATTATACCTAAAGCATGGAAAGTTCAAAATTAAAGAAAAAGATTATGATGCACGTTGCACAAGGTGACATATTATAATAGGGATGCATAATAATAACATTAGTGTAGTATTTTGCATGTATTATATGCCTACATGTATTATAGTAGTCAGGATTTGACACATAGTGCACTCGCACCATGTGTCAAACCCTGACTACATTTTTCTTTTTAATGAAATATAGTTAATTAACAAGGCTTTCTTTTCATTCAATTCATGGAATCCGGGGGGAGAATGAAACATTAAAGTCTTATTTGGTCATTAGACTTGTTACTGGAGTATCTATTTTTTTTTTATTAACACATACTTTAACATCTAAAATAATCTTTGTTGTAATATTTGAGTTTATAGTATATGATATCATCATAATTGTTTTAAATGGGTAAGGGTGTTTTCAAACATTCATAAATAAATCAATATAGATTACAGAGAAAGTTATTATTACTTCTATTAATTCAAAATTTTCTCAAAACCCCAACACAGGTAAAGTTTGACATCTGGGTATTTCACTGTGTATTAAACCACTTCCTGTGTATAGGAATTAGGAGACAGATGGCCACAGGTAGACTGGTAGCTCCCAAGGCATTCACACCTGTACAAAATAAGCCCCTCCCTCACCTGGAATTTACCACCCGGTAAAAAACCTCTGCCTTTAGGCATAGTGCATGCAAAATAAAACACTTTTAAATAAATATGCACACTTCATGAATTCCCTAGTTCATTTAATAAATGTACACATCCCTTAATTTTACATTTAAGGAAATATGCAAGGTATCTTACCTACTGATAATTTTTCAAGAAATTCTATATTTAAACTTATAATACATGTACCATATTACATATTTTTAGACAAAAAATCAGCATGCATTTCCAGGGATTTTGAAAAGATATTAAAGTTTGAAAAAATTTGCATTATTCAAAGAAAAAATGTACAAAAATTACAAAACATAAATTCCAGATTTTTTTTTTCATCAAAACTGTTTTAGAGGAGATTTACAAATCCATATATAGACAATAAAAATATTGCACACAGGTCCTTCCTTTAGTGGAACTATTGAACTCCAGGGAAGAACCCAATAAAGTGCAAACTACATTGCGCATGACCTTAAATGCCTGTTTATCAATTATGTAAGAGAAAAATAAATTAAAGAACTTGTTCTAATTAAAATAATGAAAAAAATCCTTATTTAAGCCTTTAAGTTTAATTTTTAATTAAGAAATTTGACAGATGAATAAAAAGAGTATTCAGTAATATACAATATAATACTTATTAAATTAATTCTCTAACTTAGTTCCATTTAGATATTCAATATTCAGGTCAACACTCTTTACATGAATGAATTATCAACAGTTTTGTCCTTAAAGTTTTCAATGGATCCACAGATCATGAGATGATGTCTCCTTTTATGTGTATGTATATATCTGTGTATACTGAAAAAAAGAAAGTTGCTGTGTGATGAAAAGGATAATAAAGAAGTCTCTGGTGAGACTGTAGCTCTACTGGTCTGTATGCATAACAAAGAAAAGGAAGCACTTGGATTTGAAATTTTGCGACAGCATTAAACAGAATTATGTATCTAAGTGTAGTCTACTTGGTGCCACATTACATTGAAATCATACCAAAATTGTAGGTGGAGTAGCGTTTTAAAGGAATTTTTATACAGAAATTTCTATTTTTAGTAACCATGGCAGCACTGTTCATTGAAATTTAAAGAAAAAACCAATGCACTATGTACCTTAGTGCAGTCTACTTGTGTGCCAAGTTATATTGAAATCAGAATAAAACAGAGGAGTAGTGTTTTGAAAAATTACAGACAGATGGACAGCTAGACAACGGACAGACAACGGATGGACAGCTAGACGGACGGACAAAGGGACACCTTCCTATCGCATAAGCTCTTCTGGTCTCTGACCAGTAGAGCTAAAACAAGAGGCCCATGGGCCACATCGCTCACCTGAGAAGCTTTGACTGGGTCATGCAATTCTTAACCATGGATCTTAATTTGGACAATTTAAATTCCCTATTGTAGCCCCGCCCAACTCCCAGGGGTCATGATTTTGAATAATTTAGAATCTACACTACCCCAGGATGCTTCCACATAAGTTTCAGCTCTTCTGGCCCAGTGGTTCTCTTGAAGAAGATTTTTCCTATATATTTCTATGTAAAACTTTGATTCCCTATTGTGGCCCCGCCCAGCCCCTAGGGGTCATAATTTGAAAAATTTAGAATCTACACTACCCCAGGATGCTTCCACATATGTGTCAGGTTTTTTGGCCCAGTGGTTCTTGAGAAGATTTTTTAATGACCCCACCCTATTTTTGTCTTTCTTTAATAATTATCTCCCCTTGTGAGAGGACCTGGCCCTTCATTTTAACAATTTAAATTCCCCTTCACCCAAGGATGCTTTGTACCAAGTTTGGTTAAAATTGGCCCATTGGTTCTTAAGAAGAAGTCGAAAATGTGAAAAGTTGACACACAGACAAAATGTGATCAGAAAAGCTCACTTGATCCTTCCGCTCAGGTGAGCTAAAAATTATCAAATTTGTTTTTTTTCAATATTAAAGAAATAAAACTGCAGAATTCAATTGTAAATGGTTGGTTGCGTATTACCGTAATTATTCAAAGTAGTTTTTGTTGTATGGTTTGAAAAATTTTATTACATTGTATTCCTTAATTCTTTCTATTCTCACAAAGAATTACCTTTGCATTTCTTGTATTTACAAGGGGGACAAATCTTCAAGGTACATGTACACTATATGTCAGTATATATATCTTCATTTTCTGTTAAAGGAAAAAATAGAATAAATCATACAATATCAATTACATGTATTATAACAAAGCATGGATTAAATTTTCACCAAATTTAGAAAATGAATTGATCATGTTGAGTATCAAACTATCAATCACTCAAATTTCTCAATCCAGCCAAAATGACTGACACTAAAATTCACCCTAAGAGGACGAAGTACAAAATATTAATTATTTTCATCTCTAAATATACCATAAATGAAACTTTGTGCATGTTCTGCATACAGTTACCAGTATCTGTACTATAGTAGTTTTATGCCCTTGAGAATTTTTCATGATGTCAGATGATGCCATATTTCCATGTCTGTTTTTATACGCCTGTTTGAAGACGGGACGTATTATGTTATGCATGTATTATAGGCTTCATGTTCGTCCGTCCATCTGTCCATTCGTGTCCGGCTCATAAATTGAATACTATTAGGCCTAGGATTGTCAACTAATACTTCTTGGGTAGACGGTGTGACACACACAAAAAGTAGGTTGCTCTGATCTTCAATAAAAATGCTATGGCCAAATATGAAAAATCCTGTCTACCCTATTTCAAGGTCACTGTGACCTCATAGTTGCTTGTATTAATTAAGAGTTCTTGATGGCTATATTCCAGATAAAGATCTTTCAATTGATTTAATGTAATTAAAAGAAATTAATGTTTTAGTGTATGATTAAAACTAAATTAGTATTGTATAATATAATTAAAGCTAATTATACATGTGTTCATTGAAAAAAAAATTTACATTTCAATTTTTATATATTTGCAACAAATTGCAGTCATGTCTCACTTAGAATTTTATAGTCTAAAGAATGATTTATTTTTTATTTTTTTATTAGACTGTAGCATTTCCTTTATTTCACAAAATATTCAATAAACAATTCAAAGCTGCAGATAGATATTTGTTAAGCTCTAACACAGCCAGTTTAGAATTATATGATGTATTATTTAGTTATAATTAATCCCTACACTGTAAGTCTCTTAGAGATGTATACATGTACAATATTTTCAACATGATAAGAAATGGAAATTAGATCATTGAAATCTGTTAATCAATAAGGTTACCTGATTTTCTTTCACTCTAACCAATTTATGATTATTGAACAATATTTGACGGACATATCATGCTGTGGCGGGGCATTTTATTTTTCTCTGTGGTAACTCTTTGAAAGTTAAGAGAGTTGATTTCTTAATAATTCTACGGGAATGTAAATTAGGCAGGTCGATAGGTTAGGAGCTAAGAAGGCCTAATATTCATGAAAATCTCATGTGCACCCATCTCTGTGTCTGACGCTTAGGAGGCCACATATACATGTAATTCTTGTGCGGCTACCTTTGTGTTTGAAGTCAGTGGGCAATGACTATTGAAATTGGGAGTCCTTGTGTAATTTAAATCTATGCTACATTAACAAAGCAGGTTATACTGCAACATTCATGAAAAAGTGAACTTTATTTCTTAAATATCAAATTCCCTATCAATTCTAATAAAAAATCATATTATTAGTAATAAAGCTGGAATGTTTTTTATTTCAGTTTAAAGCAATAAAAAATATTTTTACAAATAAATATGTAAAATAAAAAAGTCTTAGCATTTGTGTCTTTTATTATTTACTTACACATAAGGATCAACATGCACACAGATGTATAATTTTCCCCTCAAAAGTACATGAAGATAACTTAATAATGATATTCCTTCCTATGTATTCATGGTATAAAAATAAGTTTAGCAGTTTAAAGATTGATTTTCACTCAAAGTTTTAAGACTGTTTTTCAGAGATTAATAAAAAAAACATTTTAATAATTGATTATATCAATAATCATGTGGGTACATGTCTTATGTAAACTTCAGAGGATCAACAAATTTTCTAACAGAGATTAAGTAATTTGATATTTGGATACAATATAGTTTTTGGGGTGATTAGTTATGTCCATCATGACATGTAATATATTTAATCATTAAACACTGATCCCCATATTATATCTCAAAAATTATCTTGACAGCAAAAAAAAAAAAAGAAGAAGAAGAAGAAAGAAAAAGAAATAATACTTGCAACACACGCAATGTGTGTTAATCCCTATAGTACACTACAGTAGTGGGATACTTTTAACCATGTCTGAGAGAAGATAAGAATTAATTTTCTAATCAGTAATGCTGATGACTGTAATCAACAATGATCAAGATACTTATAAACTGTAACTTGCAAATTACAGACAAAGTAAGACATGACAATATATTTCTATGTACAATCACCAGCTTGTGTACACATTCAAGTCATTGAGAATATTCGAACGAACGAGTACTACAACGTTAATTGTCATTGAGGAAATTCGAACAAAAGAATAATATTCGGATGTGTATAATTTTCTGACGATTATTTACTTTGTTAACTTGTATAATGTACTACTGAATATCCCCATCGACTAGACTGCTAGGTTTGCAAACACTTTACAGTGAAAGAAATTCATAACATATGAAGACACTGTAAGTCTGTTTATAAAATCAGAGGAAACGGGATGATCTTATACTAGATCTTTAGACTAAAAAAAAATCTATGATCCATGCAGTAACATGTGAAATAAATAACAAACTCAATAATTCTAAATCTACTTACAAAAATAGAGCAGGTCTTGTCAACATCATGTGGAAATTTCCTCATACATGTAATCTCTTGTCGCCATTTTTTTGATTGGCATTGGGTAATTCTAGGGATTTAAATAAAAATGCATCCTTCTGCACAGAATTTTTAAGAAGTGAATTCATAGATAGAATATTGCTGCTTTTTTTACTTATTGGTTTATCTTTTTTTAATTTAAACAATGCACAGTTCACGAGCAAAAAAAAAAAAGAAATGAAATAAATTATCAGGCCTATTTTTTCTGATTTTTGTTGTTGTAAATACTACCATAGATAATACCCATGGTAGTATTTACAACAACAAAAATAAATAATGGTAATTAAAATGTCCAATACCAAAAATATTAATATTTTAATATAAATGGGACATCGATCATGATCACTGAGAACATGATAAGAATGAGGAGGGTAGGGGGGGGGGGTAGTCTCTTTGTATCTCTAAAATAAAATGTTTCCCTTGAAACGTCAAGAAAACTTTATTTGCATGGTCAGCGTTTGAAAGTCCAGTCAGCAGTACATAGCCTCAATAAATCCCCGTCCTCTTTTTCTTCACGGCATTTTGATATATTGTTAACCTTCTACATGTATGATGTTCAAAATTGTATCATTCACCAAATATCCTTCATGTGATAATCAATAGCTAGCAACCTATAAAATTTTGTCTCCTCAAATCCCATTTTTGTGAAACGTAGAATGAAAAATTCAAAGCTATTATACGAGTATTCATTTTACTTTCATAAACATGACTCATGTTTATATTTTTAAGGGGGAAAATATATACAATTTATTTTATCGTTTGCTATCAATTATGAATGGTGTAAAAATGTTGGATTTAATTTTTAAATTGAAAATGAAAAAAAAAATTATGACTTCATCAATCCGGAGGTTTAGTAAAGCACGGAGTTTGTTTTTCATGAGATTCAGTTGTTAATTCGACTCTCTGAGTGTTAATATCCCCTGTGTATGTTTTGTTAGTTCCAAGCAAATTGTGACAGTTTTGCTACCTGTGGAAAACAAAAGACTCTTAATTGCTTCTAGGTATATACATACATGTATCATACCCTATCGAGATCTGGGGTGAAGATATTGGATTCTTGGAAGTTAGCAAGGGGGGGGGGGTAGGTTTAACAGCAGACTTAAGTTGCTTTATTAGTATTCAAACATTTACCACGTTTACTGCAAAATTAAGAAAAACAGGTTATACTACAGAAGTTGATAATTTTTTCTTTGAAATAAAACTCAGATGACAAAATCAAAAAAAAAAAAATCACATTTAGCTTAACTTAGGATCGACACCCCCGTCCAAAAATATAGTCCCGTCCAAAGCTAAAGCGTTTAGAAGTCAACAGTGTCAATATCTTGTGACGCGTTTATGAATATGTCCTATTATTGTTTTTAACGATAATATAAAAATGTATCATTTATAAAATTTCATAGCTTGAACTTTAGTTGAAAGAATATTATATGTCCGATCTGGGACACTAATCATAATACGACACTCTCTACAGAGTTATGTCCCTTTCTAGTACGTAAGTTATAGATTTAAAATACTTTTGGTCTTTATGTTTACCTGATTTATTTTTTCATTTAAACAATAATAGCCAATGTAACTTTTAATTTAAGAAACTTTGGACGAAAAAGAAATTTTTTGAAAGTTTTATAGAGAAAAATGACAATTTATAGATCATTGATTTAAATTATAGTAAATACTCAAAGAGGTCTCCTTAGAACTGTTGGTATATAAAAAAAATAATGTGTTCTTTACATTATATATTATCAGGAAACATGTTATAGAAATCACAATTTCACACTTAAATCGTTCAAATTGAAGAAATAAATGAAATTAAAAATAAAATAAGAAAACTGAACGTAAAAGATATATCAGATGTAAATTCTGTATGAAAAGTATACACATGTAGTTAACTTTCCTACCAATAATCTTGTATTCAAAGTGTACAAACAGTACATTTCAGATAGATACAGAACTTGTGAAATAAACTAAATAGGGATACTAGCACTGTACGAACAGTACATTCAGATAGATACAGAACTTCTGAAATACACTAGCACTATTGTTTAATATCAAGCATCTCAGGTTTTTTTTTTTTTTTTTTTTTTTTTTTATAAATATGTATTGAAATCTTCCGAGATAGTTCAAACTTAGCACTGCATATCAACACAAAATACAGAATAAGAGCAATAGCATGTACTTTCTAAATGTAAAATGATAAATTGTAAGAGGACTAAAATTTTCATAGGGAGAATCCATCATCATGTAAATTACTCTGTCAATCGGACTGGTGTATTCTCTTGAATGAGAATAACTTTTTTATTTCTCAATGAAATTTTGCCAGTTTGGTATTATTTTGTTTGCAATAGCATGTACTTTCTAAATGTAAAATGATAAATTGTAAGAGGACTAAAATTTTCATAGGGAGAATCCATCATCATGTAAATTACTCTGTCAATCGGACTGGTGTATTCTCTTGAATGAGAATAACTTTTTTATTTCTCAATGAAATTTTGCCAGTTTGGTATTATTTTGTTTGCAATAGCATGTACTTTCTAAATGTAAAATGATAAATTGTAAGAGGACTGAAATTTTCATAGGGAGAATCCATCATCATGTAAATTACTCTGTCAATCGTACTGGTGTATTCTCTTGAATGAGAATAACTTTTTTATTTCTCAATGAAATTTTGCCAATTTGGTATTATTTTGCTCGCAATGGCATGTACTTTTTAAATGTAAATTGAAAAATTGTAAGAGGACTGAAATTTTCATAGGGTGAATCCATCATCATGTAATACTCTGTCAATCGGACTGGTGTGTTCTCTTGAATGAGCACAACTTTTTTATTTCTCAATGAAATTTTGCCAGTTTGGTATTATTTTGCTTGCAATGGCATATGTACTTTTTAAGTGTAAATTGAAAAATTGTAAGAGGACTGAAATTTTCATAGGGTGAATCCATCATCATGTAATACTCTGTCAATCGGACTGGTGTGTTCTCTTGAATGAGCACAACTTTTTTATTTCTCAATGAAATTTTGCCAGTTTGGTATTATTTTGCTTGCAATAGCATGTACTTTCTAAATGTAAAATGATAAATTGTAAGAGGACTGAAATTTTCATAGGGAGAATCCATCATCATGTAAATTACTCTGTCAATCGTACTGGTGTATTCTCTTGAATGAGAATAACTTTTTTATTTCTCAATGAAATTTTGCCAATTTGGTATTATTTTGCTCGCAATGGCATGTACTTTTTAAATGTAAATTGAAAAATTGTAAGAGGACTGAAATTTTCATAGGGTGAATCCATCATCATGTAATACTCTGTCAATCGGATTGGTGTGTTCTCTTGAATGAGCACAACTTTTTTATTTCTCAATGAAATTTTGCCAGATTGGTATTATTTTGCTTGCAATAGCATGTACTTTCTAAATGTAAAATGATAAATTGTAAGAGGACTGAAATTTTCATAGGGAGAATCCTTCATCATGTCATATTACTCCGATAATTGTACTTAAGTCTGGTGTGTTCTCTTGAGTGAGCATAACTTTTTTATTTCTCAATGAAATTTTGCCAATTTGGTATCATTTTGCTTGCAATAGCATGTATTTTCTAAATGTAAAATAATAAATTGAAAGAGTACTGAAATTTTCATAGGGAGAAACCATCATAATGTTATTCTCTGTCAATCGGACTGGTGTGTTCTCTTGAATGAGCATAACTTTTTTATTTCTCAATGAAATTTTGCCAGTTTGGTATTATTTTGCTCGCAATGGCATGTACTTTTTAAATGAAAATTGATAAATTGTAAGAGGACTGAAATTTTCATAGGGAGAATCCTTCATCATGTTAAACTCTGTCAATCGGACAGGTGTGTTCTCTTGAATGAGCATAACTTTTTTATTTCTCAATGAAATTTTGCCAGTTTGGTATTATTTTGCTCGCAATGGCATGTTCTTTTTAAATGAAAATTGATAAATTGTAAGAGGACTGAAATTTTCATAGGGAGAATCCTTCATCATGTTAAACTCTGTCAGTCGGAGTGGTGTGTTCTCTTGAATGAGCATAATTTTTTTTATTTCTCTATGAAATTTTGCCAGTTTGGTATTATTTTGCTTGCAATAGCATGTACTTTCTAAATGTAAAATGATAAATTGTAAGAGGACTAAAATTTTCATAGGGAGAATCCATCATCATGTAATACTCTGTCAATCGGAGTGGTGTGTTCACTTGAATGAGCACAACTTTTTTATTTCTCAATGAAATTTTGCCAGATTGGTATTATTTTGCTCGCAATAGCATGTACTTTCTAAATGTAAAATGATAAATTGTAAGAGGACTGAAATTTTCATAGGGATAATCCATCATCATGCCAAATTTCTCTGTTAATCGTACTGCTGTGTTCTCTTGAATGGTCATAACTTTTTTATTTCTCAATGAAATTTTGCCAACTTGGTATTATTTTGCTTGCAATAGCATGTACTTTCTAAATGTAAAATGATAAATGGAAAGAGTTAGGACTGAAATTTTCAAAGGGAAAGAATTAAAGAGATAAAAACAATTTCCATTCTCCTGTAGGATAATATATTCTATAAAACATTATGATAGAGAACTTTTAATCCTATTTGTGACAATTATGGAACTTCTTGTCCCATTTCACAACTTATGGGATAAAAAATCCCATGTAAGGTTAAAAATGGGAATTTTGATTCTATAGGAGAAAAAATCCCACAGAACTCATTTTTCTCCCACAGAATAATGGTGGGATATTGGTTAGGAGAGAAAATCCCACCATAATCCCATGGGATTTCTTGATTTCAGGTGTAATATCTTTTAAACTGGAAGATATTCAGGTGTAAAGGTTAGCCCATGTTGTGCGATTAAAAAAATCCCAACGGATGACATAAATTTTTTCTATGTATCTTTGGAAAAGTGGTTGGCGAAAGTCCGGACAAATGTCGTGTCCGGAGTTAAATGTCGCACTGTTTACTGCTTTATTCAGGTCTCCGATAAGAATGACCGAAAAAGGGTACGCAATCTAAATCGGAGACCCGGGCTTCCCTGGTCATTTTCGGCCAATCAAAATTTAGTTTCTTTGTTCTCAAATAGTTTCGTTAATTGAAATCGCTATTAAGTGGATCACGTGACCGTGATCTCCGGACACTGACCATTATCAATTAATTGACTCTAACACAGGTAATCCCCTAACAAAGAAAAATCTACTGACACCTGAGTATATCTTGACTTTGACACTAGGTAAAAAAAGATGAAAGGAAACCCTAAAGGAAAATTGCAAACAACTTAACACCTATCTGTAAATTCACTTGAACCTCTGAATAACAAATTACATAATTGTACATTTTTGTGTCATTGTTACAAAACATATCTAACAGATGGAGTTTTTATAAGTAAATTGACCAGATTGAATTATTTGTCTTGAATAACACATTTTTTTTTTGGGCAAACTGAATTGGCATCAATTTATGTACGTAAATGTAAAAATTATTTTATATAAATCTTATATCCTTAACCTCAAATAAACCATAAAATACATGAAATACTGCTGTACTATATACAAAAAAATATTAATACAAAAATATTATTTAAACAAGAAAATCTACATGACTACTTCATTATTCTACACTATGTTAATTATCTAATGAAGACACACATACACATACATAGTCATTAAACATAACTGTCTTTCCTGATATACTTTATTTTATCAAATAAAATATACAACATGACTATCTTCCCCCTTAGATAGTCATGTTGTATATTTTATTTGATAAAATAAAGTATATCAGGAAAGACAGTAGTAATGATACCTAAAAAGTAATTTTTGTTGGACGGTATTTCCATAATGATACATGGTTATTTGAAATCAAATAACAATATTTAATCAGGTAACTATTATTTAAGAAATTTAATTTTGCCGTGGTACTAGATGAACTAGGTTACAAGGCATTTCGTTCCATCTATGAATTTTCCAAACATGAATACACAATGCACCTGCATGGTGAATCGATCGGCCATGACACTTTAACGTATTGATAAAGTTAAAGATTGGCACGATTTCAAGTCAAAAACTGTAAACATTTTTGGTAAGGCGTTGTTGATTACTCAAGTAAACAGGTATATAAAATGAAGTTTGCAAGATTTCTGGTGCAAGCACAAAGTGAAAGTAGGGTAACGTGATGTTTTGTCTGAAGGTAAGATTTGGTATTAACAAATCTAACTTCCATTAAATTAAAACCTGAAATGGAGTTTTTGTATAATATTCCCAATGATTAACGGCATCTCTGCATAGAATGTTTCCGGCATCGCAATGCATGATTTTATAATTTATTTAGTATTTCTGAGCTAAAAGTCTAAGTAAGCGTTTCTGATTAAAGTTTGTCTTCTGCGTGTCCTTAAAGTGTAACTTTTAACATTTTCACTCTTTCGCAAGATAAAACAATATTAAACTTTCCATTAAGCATTTTTGAGTAAAAAGGAAAGCAGGGTATTCAAAAGAGGTCAAACTAATAAACTGCATGTTAAAAAAACAGTATTAGTTATAAGACGAAAAGTGATTATAAAAGTGATGAATTTGACAAAGCTTGTGTTACTGGTTCCTTATTATGGATGTAGAAGTGGAACAAATGAACAAACATTGTTATAAATTGCATGATTGTTTTGGGAGAAATAGAAAAAAAGTTGACCAGATGAAATTTATCAACTTGTGCTAAAATATAGCAATGATAATTTTTTTTTTGACTCGGCATAAATATTTAAACAACCTACCAAATATCTCATTGATATCTCAGGTTACAAAAAAAATTATGCCCTCAAAACGTTTCCAAAATACAATCTGTTTCACATTTTGAAAATTTAATTCTTTTGAAAAAAGCAAATTGCCAGGTATGTTGCAAAAAAAGATGTTTATTCCTGATAGAATTGATGATATTGAGACTGTAGAGACCTTTGTTTGGCCCGAAGCCAAGTCAACTAAGCTTGTTTTTTATGGATTAAAAGAAAATAACAGTGGTATTAATTGAAACTGAAAAAATGTTATTTATTTAAATAAACGACGCAAAACAAAAATACACATCGTAGTGGTGTCAGAAGAGACTAGAAAAAACTTCTAAGGAACACCAAGATCTTTGTCATCATATTATGCAAACTGACCCCCTAAAATTAAATATAGCATAAAGCAAGTACTGATATCCCTTCCATAAAAAGGGTTTTAATATATTTTAGTTAATAAAGACATAAAACACATTTCTTACAAAAAAGTCTATTAACTACTATCTACAAATTTAAAAGATATTTTTCAAAAAATTGCAATTTATCTCTCATTCATTTTGATAAATGTAGATGTATTTTTTTTTTTTTTTAATGTTTTAATAATATTAAAACATGTAATTACATTCAAGTAAGCAGAATTAATATTCAAAAACTTACAAGAGATAAATTTTGCTGTGGCCTTCAACTTGACATTTAAATATGGACGACAAATTATTAATTAACTATAGATACTTCAATTCATATGTCGACTGGATATATCCTAGTAAACTTAGAATAAAAAGATACCACTGAGTATTACACATGTTTTCCCTACTTGAATGTTTTATTTAAAAAAAAAAAAACAGTAGTGGCAATCTAGCAACAAAACTTTCAATGCCCCCCCTTTTTTTTTTTAGCAAATCCAATCTTTAATGAGGTCAAAAGCTGAACGACTTTCTAAAATACTAATTGGTACGGAATTAATTTTTTTTTGCTTTTTCTTTCTATTCACAACTTGTAAAATTAAGGCAAAATAAAGTCTTTTCTTTGAACTAACAGTACGCTTATTGTACATACATGCTCATAATATATTAATACACTTACTGGAGCTGTTGTTTGTTCTCAATAGCAAGCTGACAACATATTAACATTTCTTTCCAGTACTCAAGTTTTGCCAGTATGAAAAACGGGTCAGTATTTTATGACAGACAGGACAGTGGCTATCCAGAGAGTCCGATCATCTTGGAAGCCCATCACATAAGGAGAAATTACAAATTCCTGAAACGTGAAATGGAACCAGATTCAATAGTAGACTACCTAGTCCAACACAATATTCTTGACACAGACGAAGATAAAAATCTGATTGGAAAGCCTCGAAGGATAAAATGCGACTTTATTTTAAGGAAACTGTTACAGCATCCAAGACATTTGCCAGAATTCACAAGAATGATAAAACATTACCACCGGGAAGAAGAAGGATTCCATTGTTTTCTTTCTCTCTCAAGGTCTGAAGCCTTGGCAGGCGAAACTTCCCACAATGCTGAAGAAGGTGTAGTTATTTTTCATTGAAATATTACATTTTATTGTCATCATGTATTATGGTAATTAACATCATTTCTCCTAAGAAGTTCTGAATGAAGTATACGTATTGCTTTTCAACAATAATACCAAAAAAATTATAGTACATTTTCAGGCATTTGTGCAGTATTTCAAAGGATGTCGTTTTCATTATAATTCTTTTGGGATGCATGGAAAACACTTGAATTGCAAATATAAGAGGTTATTCTGTTTGGATATTTGCCCAATACAGTTCAGTATGAGAAAATATCAGAAGGTTAAAAAATCGCCAGGGTCAATCGAACATAATTAAAAATCCTTAAGTTTATTCAGTAACAGTTCAATTTCAAAGGATATCAGTACTGAGGCAGTGATATTACTCTTAATATTAGACTGTTCATTAATATCTGCCACAACTAAATGTTTAGATAGCAAAAGAATGACATCACAAGCAATGCGGATGATTCACATACTGTATCTTAGAAGGAACGTGTCTCAGACCTTATATTAATCCAATGTACCAAAAGATTCTTACTTTATGAATATTATATGCTTAAATTAAAAATGAAAAGGTTGTACATTTACATGTAATTAATTATGATTCCTTAAAACTTTTACATGTAAAAGATTTCGTCGGAACTCAAAGCCAGGGTGTGCTAAAATCTGAATACTAGTAATCAAATACAATAACACTGCTGGTCATTATTTTTCAGTAATAAAATCCACACGTTTGGATGGAACACTGAATAAACATAGAAATGAACTTTTGGAGGAAATCAAGTTCAGGATATCGGATGAAACTGAGAGCATCGTTGATGATTTCTTGGAAAAAGATATTGTCTCTGTATATGAACATGAGGAAATATCGGCCGATACAAATAAATCTAATGCAGCTCATTTGCTACTAAATTGCATAAAGAACAAACTTCCACATTCATACTTAGCAATGCTTTCAGTGCTAAAAACATATGGAGCACATGATCTTGCTGGCCGTCTCGAAGCTATAGATGATAATGATTTCGAACAAACAGGTAAAAAAAAGAAATAGATTTTGTATATAGCAAAGAGTAAAAAGAAAAAATAAACTGATGAAGTATAATATGGAATATTGAAATCAATATGACTAAATGCTAAAATGGCACCCCTTTTTATTTTTACAGAGAGAGAATTTACAGCTACATGGAAAATGTTGGATGGTGAACTACATTTGACTTCAAAAGGTATGGCACTCTTTTAAGGTGAAATATAAATTAATCTTAAACATTTCAATACAAAAGATAGAAGATTTTCAATGCTGTATACTTTGAGAAAATTTATTTTGCAAGCAGGATAGGATTTTTAGCTAAAAAAGTGAGGTTGTATTTCACGTAGTGAAAATAAGTGATATTTCCACAGTTTGACAAAAAACCCGTCTTAAAAAGGGAAAATATTATTGAATAAATACAGAGTTTTCCACTGGTATTGTATGTAAGCAGTATTTGATCAGAACAATAGATCCCCACGTTTTATTAAGATGCTAGTAATTTGTAACTCGTTTATAAATATTTTGTACAATAGAATGGCTTCGGATTGCAAATGTCTTTGATTGCAACAGGAAAGGAGGAAAATCCGACAGTATAGTTATCTTTTTGCATTCAGTATGTATTGAAATCCAAATAATTTTAACTTTTTTTTCTTTATAGTTCCCTTTGAAGAATTGGGAGTACTCGAAGTAAAATTCACAAAAGTTGAGGGAGGTATAGAAAGAGCTGTGATACTTGCTATAAAAGACGCCGAAGTAACGGTTGCACAAAGAACACACTCAACCTACTATAAAACATCGACGGGGTCAATAATAATTGTACTTCAAACCGAGTCATGCTATGCAATGGCAAAATTAAGGCAATTCATAGAAACAGAGGGTATTTCCAAGTTTTTGTCACAAATATTTGAATCCAGTTATGTAAGAAAACTTTTGACGAAAGAAAAATACGAAATAGACGTTCAGATCAGAGAAGTAAAGGAAAGAAAAGGTATTGAATAACATTCTTTTTAAGGCATTTAATACAACAATAAAAGTGAAATTGAATAAACCTTCTGTATGATGTACAAGTCATAGGATCTGACGATATCTTCTATCAAACAATGAGGTACAATGTACTATAAACTCCATGCGCGGATCTAGAGGGGGGGTCGGGGGGGGGGGGGGGGGGGGGGGGGGGGCAGGACCAGGTTAAAAGTTGCATAAACTAAAACAAGAAAAAAGTTACCATGAACCCCCCCTGGAAAACGCTGACCCCCCTGGTAAACGCGAATATGTGTGGAATGGGTATGAAAAGTGAAAGATTTGAGGCAAAAGTAGTCACCACTACCCCCCCCCCCCCCCCCCCCATCCCCCCCCCCCCCCCCCCCCCCCCCCCCCACGAAATAGGTTTTTGACATTTGGGCGAGTTTAGGTTTTTTTTTTTTTTTTTTTGCTTGTCAAGAAATTTTTGGGATTGGATTTTTTTTTGACTGGGGTGGACCCCCCTGGAAAAAAATTTCTGGATCCGCGCAAAATTTGAGGGGGAAATTTCGTGGATTTGTTTAAAGTATACGGAATTTTGCGTATTCATTCATACTTACAGAATGAAATATGACGTTGTTCATTATGTAATCTTAGTTTATAAATTCATGGAAGATCCATGGATACCCGCAAATTCCACAAAGTCCGGCCACCACAAAATCTAATGATTCCATAGTACATGTATCTTGATTAATAAAATAGGCGATTTCTTTTGTAGTTTTTAAGTGGTGATGTAAAATATATGTTTCTTTCTATTTTGGGACAGAATATGATAGAGATAAGCTACGGTTGTGTTTTTGTATTCTAGATCCAAATTTGGATAGTTTGCAGTCAACTGAACATAAAAAACTCGAAAATACATACAAGTCGCGTTTGGACAGATGTCATATTTTTCTTGTGGAAGAACTACAACCGCGCTGTTTGCTAAAAGAGAAGGAGGTTGCCGACATTTTCAGTCCAGTATTGGAGAAGATGAGGGAGCCAAGCTTGAGAAGAGCAAAAGTTGAATTCTTTTTAGAACATCTCAAAAAGCAGCCTGAGGAGAAAATTAAACTAGTTTTAGATAAACTGCAAGAGAAAAACAAGTACATTTATGAACAACTGTTTCCAGATACAGCGAAATATCGGGATACTGGTAACGTTCTTGAAAACACTATGGAAGATAAAATCACACGGAACTTTTTTCTCTCAACATTACAGACTTTATACTTATTTGATGGTTTTTCAGGGCATTATACAAATATACATGTTTCTGTTGATCTCAAATTATATATAAATATTTTTCTTCTAATTTTGCAGTTAAACCCCCAAAATCTGTTAAAATACACCATTATTAATGGTTCTTAAGCCAAAAAAAGGCTAAATATAATTTGACAATATCCTTAAAAAGGAAATGCTGCGTAAATGTATTACAAAAGCTATGTTTTAATTTTCAGACATCGAACAAGTTAAAGGAAACATTTTGGATAGTTTACCAAACCTCTTAGATGTGGTTAATATCCGTGCAATTCAAACTCCTCTCTTGAGTGAGGGGATAATATCACCAGAACAACTTGATTTTATACACACGAACAGTGGAAGTCTTAGAAACAAAACTTTGCAGTTTGTGAAATTGGTCTTACACAGAGGAACAGAGGCAATCAAGATTTTTCTTTCAGCTTTGGAGATCTCTTGTGGTGAAAGCATAGTTGAAAATCTTTTACAACAAAGGGCAAATATCCAAATGACAAGCGCCAGTAAGTTTAAACACATTCTAAAGTCAATTAAATTGAAATAGAAATAAATTACCCTCTGTTGTTCATGATTTAAATGATCAGCAATTGCAAGCTAAGCATTCTGTATGCCGAATACTAAGTGCGACCATCCTTCTCTGTACTGCAACAATTTAATCATTGACACATTTAAAGGAGGCATGATTATGTAGATGATATTAGAAATACACCAGATGAATTCCTTTCGTTACACTAATATGAGAACAATTATTCCATATTTCAGCTGAAGAAAGACATGCAAAAATTGAATATAAAGCTTTCAACGAAGAAGATGGATTATTGTTTAAAGGCAGATTTTTGTTAGAGCTGAAGA